ATGCCAAAACCTTAAACTCCATGAGAAAGTGAAGAAATTCAATGACATATAAAACCTAAATAAATAAATAAACAAAAGAAGAAAAAGAAGGCCAGTTTCTTCTCAAGTTAAAGCATGGATAAAGTTCAAAGATCTGGGATCTGGATGCAGCGACATGCATGATTAGACATATAATGAGTATGTTTTGATAATAAGTTTGTTGATTGATTACAGACTTTAAGGTAACCAGAGCATAAACTATCTATGAATTTGGCAAGTTTACCAAAATGTAAACAGACCTAATATTTACACAGAGCACACAGTCAAAGTAACAGTAAACTCTCAACACTTTTCCAAAACTGAAATGTAAATGACCCTGAATATAGATCTAAAGGTAGTAAGAAGAGTTGAGAGATACAAAGAGCCCACAGAAAAGTTCAGTGTCACGCCTCAGTACTGACAGGACTTACACATTTATCAGTCATTTAGAGAGAAACAAGAAAAGGTTCTGCAATTTCTGTTTAGCAAGAACAAAACTGAATTAAAGTGGACTAACGGAGTCAAACCCACCACCCTATCTATGACTCCCCCGTGACAACTTACAAGAGAGCTCTACGACTGAAAGAAAGCTGCCCTAGAGAAAGGCCAGGCTGAAGGCCAATTCAATCATTAAATGCTTTGCTCTCATTGTGTATGTGTTTATAAATTTATAAATACATGTATATGAATAAGCTTACATGCCCACATTTAAAGCTGCATGATTGACAATAGCCAAAAAATGCAAATAACCTCTATCTAGTGACAGGAGAATACATAAAATATGATATTCACAAACAATGAAATATTCACTCTTCAAAATAAAAGAAATTTTTATACGTACTACATTACAAATAAAATCTGAGAACATTACACTAAATGAAATAAGCTAAAGGTAATTCTAAATTATTTCCACTTACATAGATACCTAGACCACTCAAAATCATAGACACTTGAAAAAGTGGCTTTTTAAAGGACTGGAAGTGGAAGGAATGGGAGGTTGACATTTACTTCATACAGAATTTTAACTTTGTAAGAGGATAAAGGGTCTAGAAACTGGATGCAAAAGAGGAAGTGTTTTAAAAATATTTTATTGATTTTTTGCGATTTTAATGCACTATAATTTGATGTTCTTTAGATTCCCTCCTTATCTGTACCTCCTCTTTCTGCCCCCTGCTCAGTTAAACATACACACATACACACACACACAAACACACAATAGAGAGAGATTGATATAGATAGATTAGATGATAGATGGTAGATAGATGATAGATAGATAGATAGATAGATAGATAAGATGATAGAGATGATTGGTAGATAGATGATAGATAGACTGATGGATAGATAGATAGATAGATAGATAGATAGATAGATAGATAGATGATAGGTAGGTAGATAGATAGATAGATAGGTGATAGGTAGGTAGATAGATAGATAGATAGATAGATCAAATGTCCTTCAGTGTGGATCCCTCCACCAGAGCCTGGTTAATCTAAGCTGAAAGAGATTATCTCTCTCCCTCCAGGCAGCCATCAGTTGCCAAAAGTGCCTTGGGTTGAATCAGGATTTCTTACTCAAAGAGGAAATGTTCTTAATATCACTGAATGGTGCATCTTAAAAATGATTATGATGACAAATTTGTATCATTTATACTTATTATAGAAAAGAAATCTCATAAATGCTATGATAGTTTAAAATATAATTAATGCAACTTAATCTAAATGACACAATCAAATGTAAGCAATGCAATAAACATGAAACAATATTTACTGATAATATAACATAATGGTATACACTCAGCAAAATGTTAGTTTTTGCTTTTTAGGCAAATGGTAAAGAAAACCATTAGTGATAAAACAATATAAAAGAGCATTCATCATTAGAATTTAAACTTATTTTAACAATGAGAAAAATACAGTGAAGTCCTGGAAATAATGTTAATAATGGAATCTTGACTGAGAATTGAAAAGGTTTACTAGATAAATAAGTGCTTTAAATTGTATCATCCTTGGGCTAGAGAGATGGTTCAGTGGTTAAGAACACTAGCTGTTCTTGCAGAAGACCCGGGTTCAAATTCCAGCGCCCACATGGCAGCTAACAACTGTCTATAACTCCAGTTCCAGGGGATCCAACAGTCTCTTCTGTCCTCTGCGGGCATTGCACAGATGCACTTACCTACATGAGGCAATACACGTTTACACATAAAATAAAATGTATCCTCTTGTCTAATTGTTTCACAACATTATCAGTAGTAGCATTTAAGGCTGTTTTAAAATTATGATAAAAACTATAACTCAAAGATGAGGCAAAGAAACAAAAGTATGCTCAAATGCATTGATAAAACAGTTTGGTCTTGGTTTGTCTTCAAGTACATCCTTTGTTTGTGGTCATTTCCCTGTTTTTATTACTGCTTGTGTCACAGCATCTTTCACTTACATGCAGGCTGAATAATTTCGTTGGAAACTGCCCTGGGTAGATGGCATGCACTTGACAATGAGAAACAACAGTGAATGAAGCAGAAATGTCCCTGCTACATGATGACTGAACTATACCAATGTACAAAAAGACAGCTATGAAGAGACAGCAAGGGCATTTAATGTGACAAGAGAAAAAAGTACTACCTTCTATGAAGACTAAGTGACATGAACGATGCCTGTCAACTATGCTTCCATCATGACACTATCTGCTGTGTGACCTTGGGTAAGTTTATTCAGACTAACAGAGTACAATCTTAGCCAAAACCATAATTCATGATGAACTTCTTCACCCTCCTCTTTTACAGTCATTAACCAGTTAATATTCCTAACCAAACATCCCCCAAATAGTGCACAATCAGAAGAAAAAGTATTAACTAATTAAGATCTTCCTATCCTTGATTCTGAGTTTATTTCCAAAGAATATCTATTTATGGAAAGCTAAGGAAAAAAATATTTAAGGAAACCAAAAAATTGCTTTTTGTCAGGCAACCCACCGAGAAACAATACAAAAACTCATGTACATAGTTTAGAGTGTTGAAGCTCACTGCAAGGATGGTTAGGGCTATTAAACATCTCTGCTTACATACGGGAAGCATCATCAAATCAGACTGTAGCAATGCTGACAAGTACCTCAAA